GAGAACATGAGCAGGGGGAGGGGCAGAGGGAGAAGCAGACTCCCCGTCGAGCAGGAATCCCCAGGGGCCTCCATCCTGGGACCCCGCAATCATGACCTGAGCCGAAGGCAGATGCTCAACCGACTGAGCCAGCCAAGCGCCCCTGTACCTCTTATTTATGGTCAGCACTTCAAATACATCTGAAAACTCCCAGTATGCTGAGACAGGGGTTTCACAGGAAACTGAAGTTTGTCATCAGATTGTCGCTGTGGGCCTGACGTGGGGCTCTGTCAGCTTACCGCTGTGGTGCATGTGACCCTTGGAGGTTGACTAGGTGGGAGGGTGGGTGTCAGCCCGGAATGTGCTGGCAGGTAGGCCCTGCCGAGGCCACAGGACAGTTCTCCCCTCCCCGTGTGGGGTCCCCGAGCCCTGAGTGCTGGCCCATGACCCACCGTGCCAGCTGTAGACCACTACGTGTCACTGCAAAAACAAAGAGAAAAGCTGAACTCTTCCTTAGGATGAAAACATAATGAAGCCTTTTATGTCCCTCATGGGTGGAGGCCCTAGAGGTCCGCCGCAGTTGGGCTGGTGGCCTCAATGTTCCTGCCAGATACGTCCTGACAGGCCAAGATTTGTGCAGAAAGAGAAACAAAAAACAGACGCCAGCAATAGGACGCTGCCGCCAGGAGGTCAGGCCTGGGTGTCCCCCCCTGCCCCCCCACATTTGACAATGAGGAAACCAGGGCTCAGCGGGCCTCACATCGGGGAAGGTGCTGGTGCTTCTGGGGTCCCAGACAGTTCAGGGTGCAGGTAGGACCTTCAGGAAGGCAGTGCAGCTGCGAGCATCTCCTCTGGTTGTGGCCTGGTCTCTGTGGGAAGTCTCAGTCTGAGGTCCTCTTCAGCAGCAGGCCTGGCCTGCCCAGCACGAGGGGAGCTGGGGCCAGGCTGTAGCCTCCTCTACCTTCTGCCTCATACACAGATGGCTTGGGACACCACTCAGGTGGCCCTTGGAGGAACACAGGATCCCCCCCTCAGGGCGGTTTGTGGACAGAGGGTGTTGGGAGAGACCCCAGACCAGAGAGGGGAGGGAAGGCAGGGAAGATGGGGACTCTGAGTGACATGGGGTGGCCCCTTCCTCTTGGGGGCAGGGGCACAGGGTTCATGTCATACCCACCTGGGAGCAGGTGGCTCTGTCCCCGCTCTGCTCACCAATTCACATGCACAGCCGGCGCTTGTTTACCGTGTCGTTTTGCATGACGGCCTGTGGAATGAATGCAGTGGTATCACATAAGGTAAAGGTGTGTGACTCCATGGGTCCCACCTGCATGGCTGCTGCTGGGGAAAATCCCCTCCCCCCCGTAGGCTCTCAGTTTTGGCCAGAAGGGCCTTGGCCTGGGGGGTGGGGTGGGGGCAGCTTGGCCCATGGACAACCTTCTGAGTGCCTGGGGACCCCAGATGGGAAGTGATAAAGCATGTGTTCTCCTGGGGGGTCCCTGCTGTGGGGGTGAGTCCTGCCCACAGTCCTGGCCTCCCCCACCTTCCTGCCTCAGTGCTCCTTTCTTCCACCTTCTTCCTCAGGTGGGTCCTTTACTTGCTACTTTCCAGGGTTGTGGTGAGAACGCTTGTAGTGAAAATAATCACTGTTCACATTTTGTATCTGTCATTCATCTTCTTTTTCTCTTCATACACAGATGTCTTCTATACTTTTACACATATTTTACAGAAAACTTGTTACATAGTCTATAAGCTCTGTTGTCACTCAACAGTGTAGTAATACCTTTCCATGTCAGTGGATGGTATAGACACATACATCTTTTTAGTTGCTATTAAAGTGAGTTAAGAAAAACACCCACACAGGTTAAAACACTTTAATGAACAGTCACATTTGAGACAGAAAGTAGAAGGGTGGGTGCCAGGGGCTGTGGGGGAAGCGATGGGAAGTTGGTTTTTAATGGGGACAGAGTTCAGTTTGGGAAAGCGAAAGGTTCTGGCGGTGGATGGTGGGGATGGTTGTACAACAGGGTGCTTGGACGTAATGCCGCTGGACCACGCACTTAAAAATGGTGTAGGCAGTAAATTTTATGTCATGTGTAATTTACCACAATAAAAAATATATATAATAAAAAATTTAAACAGTGTGAATGATGCAGAGCTGTGTTAAATGAAAACTGAAAGAGTCCCATCCTACCCTCCTTACACTCAATATGTGGGCTGTTGAAGAGATAACCAATATTTTATTTTACTTTTAAAGATTTTATTTAGTTATTTATTTGACAAGAGAGACACCGTGAGAGAGGGAACACAAGCAGGGGCAGTGGGAGAGGGAGAAGCAGGCTTTCCCGCAGAGCAGGGAGCCCAATGCGGGGCTTGATCCCAGGACCCTGGGATCATGACCTGAGCTGAAGGCAGACGCCCAATGACTGAGCCACCCAGGCGCACCGAGATAACCAATATTTTAAAAATATCATAGCAACAACCATGAAGTTCCCGTGTTGGAGCTGAGCAGGTCGTACACACTGTGTCCCTTAGTCCTTGCAAAAGGGGCATGAGGTCAACAGAGCTGGGAGGTGGTGGGGCTGGCTTCCATCCCAGAGCCTGAACTCTAAATAGCTCAGCTCTGCTACTTCTTTTTTTAAGATTTTATTTTTAGGGGCACCTGGGGGGCTCAGTCGGTTGGGTGTCTGCCTTTGGCTCAGGTCATGATCCTGAAGTCCCGGGATTGAGCCCCACATCGGGCTCCCTGCTCAGTGGGGAGTCTGCTTCTCCCTCTGCCCCTCCCCCCACCCCGCTTGTGAGCTTGCTCTCTTTCTCTTAAATAAATAAATACAATCTTAAAAAAAAAGAGATTTTTCTTTTTAAGGAAGCTATATACCCAACTTGGGGCTCAAACTCACCGACCCCAAGGTCAAGAGGCACACACTCCACCAACTGAGCCAGCTGGGAGGCACTGCTACTTCTTTCATAAGATAATTTTATTTAAGAGATAGTAAGAGGCACCTGGGTGGCTCAGTGCGTTAAGAGTTAATAATAAGTCATTGTCAGGAAAGGAGAAAGTCACCCATCATCCACCACTCAGCCTCCTTACTACTTTTTTGCATTCCCTGTAGCCTTTCTTCCCATGTTCCCACCCTTTTCTCCTGCTTTGTGCAGGTAGCCCCGGGGTTGTGCCATCTGCAGAGGGGACTGGGGGGCTGGGGAGGGGAGCACAACAGTGGTGTCCCAGTACTTCTGCTGAGCCAATCCACCGGGGGCGGCGAAACCAGCCCTAGGTTTGAATCTTATCAGTTTGACTGGAGACAAATCATTTCGCCTATCTGAACCTCAATCTGCTTAAAAATAAAACGCAGACAATTCTGTCAGCCGCCACAGATTGTCGTGAAAATCAGTCTGTGTGGTTCCACACAAGCGTAGTGCCGTGTATTGTTAGGCATTATTGTTCTAGTCGCAAAGCTTGGGTTTGAAAAGCTTGGCCCCTTGGTAACAGTCAGTTTTGTTTAGACAGAGACACAGTTGATCTGCCGGAGGAATTGCTACCTCAGGGAGACTCAAAGGTTGGAGATGTTTTGTCCTAGCCTCACCTGATGCATGTGTGAACAAGTCAGAGGCTTTCCCCGGGAATTCCAGTGCCCCTGTTTTTGTGGTTCTCAAATATGGGTTTGCCCCAGACCACCAGAGGGTGAAGGGCCTTGAACTCAGGACTGTGGACTTTGGGTTTGGTCTGGACGGTAATGGGGAGATACAACGATTTGGGAGAAGAGTGTGTACTTCATCCGGACAGTGGGAGGTCGTAAAGGCTTTAAACAGGGAAGTGAAGAGCCAAGACTTGTATTTTAGCAAGATGTGGCCTGGGGAGGAGTCTGGAGGCTGCCCCAGCTGGCGGCGGCCGCCGACCAGGGGGAGACAAGGCGAGGACAGTGGCGGAGGAGGCGAGAGGAAGCTGCATCACAGACTATATGCGGCCTCTGTGAAGCTGGTCGGGAGCTGGTGTAGATACGCCCTCACAGCACCTTTGGGGTTTCCCACCTTGGTGCAAAGGGGAAGGGATTCCTCTCAAGAACCCGGGAACCCCCACCCAGGCTTCTTCGGCCAGTCCTGCCTGCCCAGGCGATGTGATCTTTGGCCAGCCACTTAACCTGCTCAGGCCTCAGTTTCCTCATTTCTAATGGGGACGAAATGCAAACCGCTTGTGAGGATTTGAAGGATGCCCACTGGGCGTGGCACACTTGGCACTCAGTTGACATAGGGGCTGTTTGCAGGGTCCCCATCTGTAAGACGGGGAAGGATACACATGATTCCACTGCTTGTAGGACCACCAGACTTTCATATTTAGGGGCTCTACTAGGGACTTGGTGGAGTGAATATCTTTAACTTCCTCCCATGTTCAGGGAAATGTAGAGTCTACAAAGCCCTTTTACGTCTATGTTCCCATTACCTTCCTCTTAACAGCCCTGGGAGGTAGGCACACAGATACTGTCATTATTACCCTCTCCATTTTATTTTACTTTATTTTTTAAAAGATTATTTATTTATTTATTTGAGATAGAGTGAGAGCAAGTGAGCATGAGCGGGGGGGGAGGGGCACAGGGAGAGGGAGAAGCAGACTCCCTGCTCAGTGGGGAGCCTGATGTGGGGCTTGATCTCACAACCCTCGATCATGACCTGAGCCGAAGGCAGACGCTTAACCGACTGAGCTATGCAGGTTCCCCAACCCTCTCCAGTTTATAGTTGAGGAAACAGGCTCAGAGGAGACTGTCTTGTCTAAGGTCACACCGCTGGTAGGATCCGAAGCCAGTTTTGTGTGACTCAGTGTCAGAGCTGGACCGATCACAGGAGATTGTTGTGTCCCCCCGCTACATACATGGGCAGGCCGAGGCCAGGAGGGAAAGAACTCACCCGGCCACAGTGAATTCGAGGTGGACCCAGGAACAGAGCCCGGTCTCTGACTTGTAGACCCCGCCTCTTAATGGCTATCCTACTTCATTGAATAATAGTAACTTTCTTTCTTTCTGCCTTGTTTTCAGGGAAACCAATTCCTGAAATCAAGTCTTCTTTCCTAGACTTCCCGGATGCTGCGAAGCCAGGAAGGCTGCTGGCAGCTTCTGTAAGAAACGCTGAAGATAAACAGGGAAAGGGGCTGTCCGTGAGGCCAGATGCCTTTCCAAGTCCAGGTATTTTAAATTAAATTTCATTTTTTAATTTAAAGGAAATGTTTTATCCATCAGGATATTCAGCTCAGTGTAGCAAAAAAATTGGAAACAACAAGGGGGATGGTAAAATTAATGACCGTCGGTCAGAAAAATACAATACTGTTAAAAATGATGTAGATGTGTATACATACACCGAAACATGCTCACAATATATTGAATTAAAAAAGCAAAAAAAAAAAAAAGAAAAGTCAGATACCAACAGAATATATACTGCTTATTATCATTTTAAGAAAAAAAGATAGCTCTGTAATCGAGGGCTCTTTCTGTGCTGGACACGCCGACTTACATAACCCTCAGTTAGCTGTACAAGTTAGGTATGGTGATTATCCCCACTTTACAGATATGGAAACTGCAGCGCGGAGAGATTACACAGCCTGCTGAAGTCACACGCTCTGGGGCCCAGGTATTCTCCCTGTGGTTCCCCGAGCCCCGAGCACGGGCTGGTCCTCCTGCCGGCTCTGGCCTGGGAGCCTGAAGACCTCTCCGTTCTGCATGGGCCCGTGGCCGGGCTGGGGCCTGGCCCTCTCAGCTGTGTAGTGGGCCACTGTGGTCCTGCCTGCCCCCCTCCCTCTCCTCTTCCCGGCACACATCTGCTGCTTTCCTCTACGGCACCTGAGCCGCTGAAAGAAGTGATTTGCTCAAGGTCACGCAAGTAGGAAGTAGCATCTGAGCAGTGTGGTTTAGATGCCTCCGTCCCTAACAGCACACACACTGCTATCCCAGAGCCTTTTGACCACTTCAGATTTGTCTCCACCCCCTTGTGCCCAGGGAAGGGTTCAGGGACAGTTTGCCAAATGATGGAAGGACTCAGCCTGCGGATGGATGGCTTTCCTGGGGCGGTGTCGGGGGGGGGGCGGGGGGCGGGGGAGGACACCACTGTTCACAGTATTCACACCCACGTGTCCATTCTCACCACCTCTCCCCAGGGGCCTGGCCTCCCTTCTACTCTCCTCTAGGCTCCCAAGTGGTGAGCTGAAGGTCCCACATCCAAGAAATCTCAGTTCATTGATGCTGTTCCTGAAGCCAGGGTCAACGTTGGCCTAGAGGAGCGTGCCTGGGTTTTTGCATTAGACAAGCCTGTATTTGAATCCCACCTCCCAGTTTCTACAGGAGAATTACTTAGCTTCTCTGTACCTCAGTTTCTTCATCTAAAAAAGTGGGCACAGGGGCGCCTGTGTGGCTCAGTTGGTTGAGCGTCTGACTCTTGATTTCAGCTAGAGTCATGCTCTCAGGGTTGTGAAATCGAGTCCCACATCAGGCTCAGTGCTCAGTGCGGAGTCTGTTTGAGAGTGTCTCTCTCCCTCTCTCTCTGCCCCTCCCCCACTCACATGCATGGGTGCCTGCGTGCTCTCTCTCTCTAAATGAATAAATAAAATCTTAAAAAAAATAAAAAAGCAGGCACAGCAATGAAAGCCTATGTCAGCATGTTGTAGTAAGGAATCAAACACCTCAGTGTTGCTACCATTAGGTGCTCATCAAATGTTAGTTAATATTAGCAGTGTTCGGACACCCCAGATAGGCTGAAGCTGGGGAAATAATTCTAGGCCAGGGAGTCTGAACAGTTAACTGTAGCTAAAGATAAAAACAAACAAAAACAAGGGCAGAACTTTGATCAGCAGTTAAAAATAAGGGGAAATGGTCCTAAAGCAAATGTGATACTGATCAAAGGCCAAAGGGAAGAATCATAGTAAAGCAGGGAAATTCTAGCGGAATGCTGGCCCAGATGGAGGAGGTGATAGGGGTCACAACCTCTGATATTCCTTATCTAGGGCTACTGCAGAAACCAGCCTCATCTGGTGAGGCCTTTGCTCCGTTCCCTTTCTTGAATGGCCCTTGGGAACACATGTGTCCCAGCAAGTCAAGATAACAAACACAATCTACAGATGGAGGAAGGAAGCTGGTTGTCTATCTTTGCCCCAACTAGAAATAATCATTAATTTAATCTAATAACCCAAACCCCATCTTCTTTCAGGAAAACCCTAAGGTTCCGTTGGGCCCCAGAGTTCAAGCTGACTGATTATCTTGTTGGAGTGGAAAATGCGGAGGTGGGGGGTGGGACGGGGGCGGGGCAGGGGACAGAGACAGGTGGCAGCAACATGACCTCCTGACCTGCTGTGTGTAGGAGCTTCTTGTGCCCCACGGAATTGCCCAGGGACGTGGGGCTCTTATTGCGCCCCTGGACAGCGGGGGAAGGATGTAGAAGCCTCATGACTGAGAAAGCGGTGGGACCAGGATCCAGCTCAGGCCAGTTGCCCCAGAACCCACACGGTAACCCCTGCATGTCCTGACTCCCTCGTGGGTGGGAAGGAAATGGGAAAGAGACAGGGAGGAGGAAACTAGGTGATCAGAAAAGCCACAGACAGGTGGTGAGCAGCTCATTAAACAAACTCACAGAGCCGGACTTCAGAGACGAGGGCTTTAATGGCTGATGCCAACTGTCACAAAGCCGTAGCTCTAGGAGAGGCCGGCAGGCTATCCGTCAGAATCTCTCATTCTGCGTGTAGTTCTACCAGCTTTGGGACTCCCTGTGTGCCAGACTGACCTTAGTGCTTTGTAACTGTCATCTCGTTTATTTAGTCTGGACAAGAACTCTACAAGGAATGGGCTTTTATTGTTCTTTGTGCATCTGAGAAAGCCCAAAGAAATGAAGTACAGGTCACCCAAGTTCAAATCTTCGTAATGGAAGAGCCAGGACTTGAGCCTATTTCTCTCTGATACGAAGGAGGTGGGGAGGCTGTAGAGGCAGCTCCTCGGGCAGCGCCAGGGCAGGATGTAGAAAACCTCCCATCAGATACAGCACCTCCCCAGTGCTCTTTACTCCTGCCTTCAGCCACACAGCTCAGCAGGACGAGACTCAGTGTATTCTGCTTGGGAAAGCAGACATTCCAGAAAGATTTCCGTAGGAAATGTTTTTTCGTAAAAGTTTTGGCACATGGAGCGTGAGTGCTTTGGAAAAGACGTGTGTGAGGATGAGTGTCTCCCCTGACCCAGGGCTTCCACTAAGCGTTTACAAAGCAAGTCTAGTTCTTACCTGATTTGTCAGCTTTGTGGCGTTGGCTCAAATCCCATTCCTTTTTCCCCCAAAACCACAGGGATAAGGAGCCTCTCCTTCAACTAGTAGCCTTCATATGTCACAAAAGCAGACCTTAGTGACACCCTCCCAACCTCAGGCGAACCCCGGGCATCAAGCCAGACCAGAAAGTCATGGTTAATGTGAGGCCGGTGCTGGCCTGGGAGTCACTGGGCAAAGGGAGAGGGAGAGGGACCATCTGCTCACTGAGAACCCTACCCCGAGGCCAGCTCTGGGTCAGGCCAGGATAGGGCAGAACTTGAGGGAGGAAGCAGAGGGAAACGGAGCCACCATGGAGCAGTGGTCCCCAGGGCGTGGAGCCTGGCTCCCCGTGGTACAAGAGAGCATGGATGTTAGAAAAGATGTATGTCTCATGCACAAAAAACTAGGGATTTCAAGGCTAAATACATAATGTGTGAATTAAAGTGGACTGAAAGAGAAACATCAAGTCACTCACAGTGAGGTGGCGCAGAGACACAGCCAACAGTTAGGAGATGGATGAACATGACCACAGTTTCGGGACCCAGGCCAAGCGTACTGGGAGCCAAGGCCAAGAGCAGGCAGGGCACGGGTAGAGGCAGCAATGGAAGGGAGCCTTTCTGCAAGGCAGGGTCCCTGGGCCTGCCAGCAGAGACCTGTATTGGACCAGGTCACCTGAGAAGCAGGAGGATCTTCACAGGACAAAGGCCTGAGCGAAAATGGGGAAGATGCGGGGCGAAGCTGGAGGAGGCTTGGGGTCTGGGGGAAGGAGAGAGGGTGGGAAAGTGGGTGGGAGCGTCCTTAGGGAGATCAGGGCCCTGGGTCTCCCCTGGGTCTCCCCTTCTTCTCCCCTCCACACTCAGTCACGGGGAGCAGCCCCTGGGAAGCTTAGGCAGATGTGGGGATGGATTTGAGAGAGTGGCATGGCTCTAGTCTGCTATCTAGACGTCTAGAACAGCAGACTCAGGGAGAGAGGCTTAGGGTGCCCCTCCTCTTGGGCTCTGTGGGGATGAAAGAGCCTTAGCCTGCATTAGGTGAGCTTTGTTTTATCAGCTGCCTGGGTTAGTAGTTTAGTAAGCCCGATTCTAGCTTCATCAGGTTGCTATTTTCAGTTTTCTGAATTAAATTTTCTTTTATGGCCAGAGTTGCAGATTAATCACTCATTTCTTGATGTTATAAACCAGAAATACCTGAAGCAGGTGGATTGGGCCAGCAACCCTGGGGTCAAGGCCAGGTTCCCTTGGAGGGCCGGCACCCAGTTACTCAGAGGCCATCCCAGCCATGGGGCCACCTGGGTGTTTGCAGATGGTGACATCTGAAGCTTCTGCTTCTGGCTGAGGTCTGCTCCTGCGTGGATCGGCCCCCACAGCTCATCCCTCATTCTGTCTCATCCCTGGCTTGCACTCACTCTAATTCATCCAACTCCAGACTGCCTCGTTAGGGTTCAGGTTAATCTTTTTCTGGTGCCCCGTGAAGAAATGTCACCTCTTTAACCTGGCTTTTACCTGACCCCAAACTACTCTTCAAGCCTTCTCTCTCCTGAGTCTTCTTCATTCACTAAGGCATTAAGAGCACGGACTCCAGGGGCACCGAGTTGGCTCAGTCGGTTAAGTGGCCAACTCTTGATCTCAGCTCAGGTCTTGAACTCAGGGTCGTGAGTTCAAGCCCTGCATTGGGCTCCATGCTCCGCGTTGGGTGTCCTGCATGGAGCCCACTTAAAAAAAAAAAAAAAAAGAGCATGGACTCCAGAGCCATTGGCTGTGTGCCCTTGGAAAGGTTACTCCACTTCTCTCTGCCTCCGTTTTACCATCTGTAAAAAGGACATGGTAATGGTACCTGTCTCCTAGGGTTGTTGTGAGGGTTCAGTGACTTAAAAAAGTGACTCATTTAGAGCAGGGCCTTGTGTAACATCAGTGTTTGCTAGCTAAGCCTGCCTGAGTACTTTCTGGGCTTGCACGCTCTCATGCCTCTGCACAGCCGGTCCCACTTCCTCAATGCCTTATGTCCACTTTTTGAAATCCTTTGTGAAACCCTCCTTGGCCTCCCAACCTGCTTTCGTGGCCTCTTTGCTGCCTCTGCCCTTAGAGGCTGGTTATTGCCATTGCTGCTGCAATGGAGTTTTCTGGAAGGCGGGCTCCATAGCTAATCACCTCTGTGTCCTTCACTGCTCCTTGTTTGGGAGGTAGGCCAGCGTAAGGCTTGGAAGTCACATGGATCTCCATCTGAAGCCTGGCTCTGCCACTTACTGACTGTGTGGCCCTGGGCCAGTAGCCACCTCCAGTGCCTCCATTTCTCCCCCCACCCCGTGGGAGTCATATATGGGACCAACCCATGGTTGTTACAAAGTTTCCCTGAGCTAGCTCGTGAGGAGCGTGCAGGCTGACACCTGGGGGTGTCAGGAAATAGCAGGTGTCATTAGTGGCAAAAATGTCTGTGGAGTGAAGGAGAAACTGGTGTGGGAACCGGTTGAGAACCCCTCCTGTCTTCCTCCTTTCCAGGGCCCGCTCCAGCCAGAGCCAGCCTCCTGCCTCCTTCCACAGATGCCCCTCATTCCTTAAAAACCAAGTTGGTTGACTTTCCTGTTTCACCTGATTCAAAGGTAAATCTCCCCTACCCCCGGGTGATAGCCCCCCATCCCCACGTGGCTCTTCCTCAGAAATGCAGTGTGCTGGGGCGCCTGGCTGGCTCAGTCAGTAGAGCTTGCAGCTCTTGATCTTGGGGTCGTGAGTTCGAGCCCTACGTTGGGTATAGAGATTACTTAAATGAATAAACTGGGGGGAAAAGAAGTAATGTATTGGGACCAATGTGGGGGCCAGGGGTTAGGGGGATAGGGAGAAAGGAGACTTGTGGAATTACTCTAGGCTTCTAAGGCTAAATGCAGGCTATCAGTGCAGCTAGGGCCTGGGGGCCTGGGGTTGGGGTGACTGGAGAGGGTGCACTTTTACATGAATACATGTTTTTAATGAGCTTTTCCATTCTTTGTGTTTAAATGAGAGCTAATACATGGCATCTTTCTCCCTCCAAAATATATTGGTTACATTTATACTAAGTCATTTGCTTACAAACTACCTCTCTTCTAACCTTTTCCCACCCAATTCATGTCTGAGTTATCCTGAATTTTCAATGACAGGTCCAGGACCACAAAGGCACTCTTGCCTTCATGGGTCTTTTCTTTCCTTCATTAAAAAAAAAAAAAAAAAAAAAAAAAAAATCAAGGATTATATTTTACAATTGCATTGGCACAAAGATGAACCTAATCCAAGCTGGATTAAAAATTAAAACATTTTCTTTGACTCTAAAAGTTCATTTTTGTTCTTCTGGCTTTAAAAGAAATCAAAACGTTTTTGTGGGCCTCCAAAACTGTCCTGGGCAGGGTGCCTGGCAAAAAAGCCAATGCTGCATGGGTCTGGTTGATGAGATTCTTCCATAAAGGAGATGGGCACTTAAGCATGTTTTTTTTTTGTTTGTTTGTTTTTATAATTAATAATTTTCAAAGACAATTTAATAATTGATAGAATGATCATGGTATAATGTTAAGTGAAAACATCAGAGGGGCGCCTGGGTGGCTCAGTCATTAAGGGTCTGCCTTCGGCTTGGGTCATGGTCCCAGGGTCCTGGGATCGAGCCCCGCATCAGTCTCCCTGCTCAGTGGGAAGCCTGCTTCTCCCTCTCCCACTCCCTCTGCTTGTGTTCCCTCTCTTGCTATCTCTCTCTCTGTCAAATAAATAAATAAAATCTTATAACTTTTGGAAGGGTAGGGGTGCCTGGGTGGCTCAGTCATTAAGCGTCTGCCTTCAGCTCAGGTCATGATCCCAGGGTCCTGGGATCGAGCCCCACATCGGGCTGCCTGCTCGGCGGGAAGCCTGCTTCTCCCTCTCCCACTCCCCCTGCTTGTGTTCCCTCTCTCGCTGTCTCTCTCTCTGTCAAATAAATAAATAAATAAATAAATAATCTTAAAAAAAAAAAGTGAAAACACCAGAAGTCAAAACTATGTGTATGGCATGATCCCAATTTTAAAAATAAATCCCGTGTATCTAATTTACAAGAAATACCTTAAACTTTCATAGCACTTCAGTGGATAATGGGATCGTGGATGGTTTTTTCCCCTCTAATTTTCTCAAACAGCCTGTAAGAGCATAGATAGCCTTAAAAAAAGTTAAACTTCTGTGCACCTGTTTTTAAGAAGGTACGTGACTGAAGCAGAGCCGCTTTTCAGAGGCTCACACAGAATCACGTTTGGTTGTGTGGACCTAGGTCCTGCTTCCCAGCATGTATACCCTGTGTAGGACCCCAGGCACCAGTTCAGCCCTTGACCAGCTCTGTGACCTCACCTTAGCTCTCTGACCTCCTTGGTTCTCACTTTTGTAAACTGGGGAAAAAGACAAAACAGAAAAACCTAGCCATGTGCCAGGAATATTCACATTTTAGTTAATCTTCAGGATTACCCTCCAGAGTACTATTGTTATTTTCATTTTTGCTGCTGTGGAAATTAAGGTTCAGAGAGGTTAAGTTACTTACTCAAGGTCACAGAGCCAGTTAGAAGCAGAGCTGGGATTTGAGCTGGCCCTATCGATGTCTTATAAAGGACTGTTTCTCCTCACTGGACAAGATGAACTCCTCCACCCCTTCAGCTTTGATGATCTAAGATTCCCTGAGGTAGTAGGCAAAAAATATTTTCCATGTTAATTCCATATTAATCTCCATCTCTTCTGTCTGCATTCCCAGGACTTTAGCACCTCCCTTCCGAAGCAGGAAACACTTGTGAGCCAGGCTGAAGATAGCCTTTTCTGGAGTGAGGCAGACGTGGTCCAGGCAACTGATAACTTCAACCAAAACCACAAAATCAGTGAGGGCATCTTTGCTGACATCTACAAAGGGCAAAGGCATGGCATGCCATTTGTCTTCAAGAAGCTCAGAGAGGCGAGCACTTCTTTGTTTCTAGTAAGGGGTGGAGGCTATATTGGGTGAGGCTGGATTTTCATGTTTCATGGTCTTTTCCCACAGGTGGCCTACTCAGGTCCAGGACTGGTCGAAAAATTCTTCCAGGCAGAAGTACAAATTTGTCATAGGTAAGCCTCCCCTTTGGAAAATACTTTGCTTAATAATGATAACCTTTATATAGTGCTTCCTGTGTACCAGGCATGTCTTAAGTACTCCACATGTAAAAATGCATTTAATCCACACAAGAACCTTGTAACGTAGCTGCTGTTAGCAGCGTTATTTTGTACATGCACAAACTGAGGCCCAGAGAGGTTAAGTGTCTTGTCCAAGATCGCACAGCTAGTAAGTGGCAGAGCTGGACTTTGAACCTAGGTTGGTCTGGCTTCATAGTCCGTGCTTTCTCTATGAAGCAACTATATGCATAGATTAGAATTATCAAAGAACCTTGGCTCACTTGGCCCAGCTCTTTCCTTCCAGGCTGGAAGAAATCTGTTTCTATCCCATTTTTCTGAGATGGGCAGAGATTTACTGTTTCCAACTCTCATGGCAAATCCATCTTAAAATGGTATTGCTCCAGAGCAGGGGTTGGCAAATGATGCCCTTTGGCTAGATCCGGCCGTGCCTGTGTGTGTATGGTCTGATTGCTAAGAATGGGTTCTCCATTTTCAGAGGGTTGAAAAAAAGAAGAATGTTTCACGATACATGAAATGTACACGAAATTCCGATTTCAGTGTCCACAATAAGGTTTTCCTGGAACACAGCCATGCTTCCTTATTTCCGTCTTCTCTATGGTTGTTTTTGTGAGATAGGCACGGTTGAGTAGTTGCAACAGAGTCCGTATTGACCTACAAAGTCTAAAATATTTACTACCTAGCCCTTGGCAGAGAGATTTTTTAAAAGATTTATTTATTTATTTTGAGGGAGAGAGAGGGGAGGGGAAGAGGGAGAGGGAGAGAGAGTCCCAAGCAGACTCTGTGCTGAGCAAGATCACTACCCGAGCCAACCCCTAGAGTCCGACGTTTAGCTGACCACGCCACCCAGGTGCCCCGACAGAGAAATGTTGAGCCATAAAGTCTTGAGCAATAAAGACCTGCAAAAGTCATCCTCAAACCTGCTCATTTTACAGATGGGGAAACTGAGGCTGAGAAGGGCAGTGAACCTGCCTGTCCCAGAGCTGGCAGGGGACTGGAAAAGAGAACGGGAAGGACCTGGGGAGACTTGCCCTGGCTCTGCCGTCACTGACTGATGAATTTAACAAAGGCATATTGGGCACCTGTCGGGCGCTGGACGCCAGCTATCATTCAACCTTGGCAAGTCGCTCTCTGGGTTTCCTCTGCCAGCATGCGGCCCTGGGCAAGGAATGCATGATTAGTGTGGAGTATCTTAAGAAATAAAGAAAATCATAAATAAGAAAATAGAAATCACCTGTTTTCTGTAGCACCTATAAATAACTACTCCTGTGTTAGTAATTCGATATATTTTCTTTAACCTTTTCTCTATTCATACGTGTGTATGAATAAACACACACATATTTAATAAAAAATGAAAGTATAATTCCCCTTTCCATTTTGGCAAAGTGCCTTCCTGGAGTCAGCAGACACCCCATTCACTGACTGGGCAAACGTGAGTCGTCAAGGCCTTTTTTGGCTCTAGGGAGAATACACAGCCCCTGCCTTGGGAATGGTTATGGTCCAGAAGGGACTGAGTGTAAATGACTCTCCTGAGTGTGAAAAGTGCAGTAGGATGGCCTGGGGAGAGTGGAGGAGGGCAGGAGGGATTGGGCAGGAGGCCATCACGATAGTCCTGTGGAGCATCCATCAGGGTCCGACTCAAGGTAGAGGAGGGGGGAGTGAAGGGGACAGTTGGAAGCTATTTATGATGGTGAATGCTGACTAATTAGATGGGGGAGGTAGAGAGGTTTCCAGGAAACTGCATGGAGACTGCACAGGTGCCCTTTGTTGAGGTAATAACTGGGCACAGGGGCGGGTTTGGGACTTGTTGAGTCTAGGGTGTTCACCTAGAGGATCAGGATGCAGATAGACATTCAGGTCTAGAGCTTAGGAAGGGGCTCCAAGGAGAGATTTGGGGAGTGTTCCCCATAGAGGTGGGAGATACCTGGAGACACAGCTGATAAAACAAAATGATGAGCTGAGTCGGGGGTACTTAGGTTTCAGAGGAAGGCAAAGGAGGAGGGTCTTAGTGAAAAAAGCCAAGAGAGAGCAGTCAGAGAGGTAGGAAGAGCCTGGAGGGAAAAGTGACTCAGAACCTAGCAGAAGAGGATTTCAGGGAAGAACCCAGTCCTGGGGGTCCAACAGACCTGCAATCTGATCCTGCCTTCCCTGCTTACTGCTCGTGATGGTGAGCAAGTTCCTTAACCTCTAACCTCTAAGGTAGGGTAAGTTTGAGCTCTTTGACTTCAAGCTTGTTGAGGGCAGGCAGTTTTCATCCCTCTATCCTGGTGCTGGCCCTCAGGGGTCAGAGCATTTGGTACCTGGCTGATCATGACTGTGAGCAAGTTCCTTAACCTCTAAGGCTCTGTTTCCAGAAGATGGGGTGGTTAAGATGTTATGTGCTGCAGAGCAGTGAGGTAGGGTAAGTTTGAGCTCTTTGACTTCAAGCTTGTTGAAGGCAGTCAGTTTTCATCTCTCTACCCTGGTGCTGGGCCCTCAGGGGTCAGAGCATTTGGCACCTGGGAAGTCACTGGTGACCTCACTGGGGTACAGGGGGCAGAAGAGGGGTGGGAGGTGAGGAAGTGGAGCAGTCTTTGTTTCTCCTTTCTGTCTGACTCCTCACCTCTGCACTAATACCTGATTTCAGATGCTGCCACCCCAACATCTTACCTCTGCTGGGCTTCTGCACTGGAAATCAGTTTTACAGCTTGATCTACCCATACATGGCAAATGGTTCTTTACAGGACAGACTCCAGGGTCAGGTAAGGGGCTGGGTCATGGTCAGAGAACAGGACCAGGTAGCATCCAGTTAGGGATTCAAGGTTTAAGGGCTTCCAGAAGGGAGAGGGGCCACCCAGAGAGAGAAGTTAGGTTGGGATAGATGAGATCTGGCTGAACATCTTCAGGTAAAAACCTATAAAAAAATTATTTGAGAAGAGGCTTTTCAAGAGCAAGACAAAGGTATCCCACAGTACTAATTTTATTTAACATTGTTCTGGGGGTGCTAGTCAATGCAATAGGACAAGAAAAATAATTAAGAGGTAAAGAGTGTGGAGAAGTAGAAGCAAATTTTTATTTGCTAAAAATGCTACTCTATTATATGTCTATTTGCTTGTGTCTTTATGGGCTATCTCTGGAAGTTTACAAAAAACTGGTGCTTTGGCTGCCTCTGAGGAAGTGAGCTAGGTAGCTGGGGCATGGGACAGGAAAGGAAATTTTACTATATACCCTTCAGTACCTTGCACATATTATAGCAGGTGAGCATAATACCTATTAAAATTACAGTTTTAAAAACAAACAAACCTCCTTCCCATAAAATCGTGAAATAGGGGGAAAGATTTATTCCCCAAGAGAATTACTGCTTCCCTTAAAAGAGACCAGACAAAGCAGTATTCATAGTATAATAATGATTGTTAGGTTTGTTGTGCTCTTGCTGTGTGCGAGACACCACGGTAAAGGTTTTGCACATGTCCCCTTCAGGCCTTGCTACAACTCAAGAGGTATCCCCCGTTTTCCAAAAGAGGAGTTTCTGGCACAGAGAGGCAAAGTGACCTGCCCAAAGGAACACAGCTGACAGGTGTCAGGGCTGGAATTTAAACAGGGTTCATGTGGCTCTGGATTTCAGAGTTTTTGAGAGGGAACCTGTTAGCAAGGCCAGCTTTTAGAGGATGTGGGGCCTACGACAGGACTTGAAAAATAAGTTGTGATTGAGCCTGGAGTTTCAGTCTTAGAACAACAGTGGCAGAACCTGGAGATGGTGGGGGTTTTAGCTCACCCCATAATCCCCATCAGCCCCTGTGAAGCCTCCCCAAATACACATAAAATTGGCATAAGGCCCACGTGCTTGGTGTGCTATCACAAGCTCCTTAGCCCCTCTCCCAGGCGTACCCTCCTAGAGGAAGATTCCAGACCTGCCACTGTATAGTCATGCTTCAAAACTGCAGGTTATCGAGCACCCACTGTGTGGCAGGCACCGTGCTAGGGGCATACCATATACTCATATACCATATGCTCCCTACCATATCCTCCTCTGAGTCCTTAGAGCAATCCTAGAGAGGCATGGGGATTAACATTTCCATTTTGTAACTGAAGAAGAAACTGAGGCTCAGAGATGTCGAGTGTCTTTCCCAAAGTCACACAGCTAGTGTGTGTCTGAGCTGGGATTTACATCTAGGTCTTCTGATGTCGGAACTGGTACCCTGCCGGTACGCCGTGCTGCCCGATCTCTGTTGCAGAGGATGTGAAGGTCTGGAGAAGAGACAGGAGGTCGCTGGGACTTTGAAAAGGCAGAGGTGTGACTGTGTCTCCCCCTCTTTCTCTTTTCCTTAGGGAGGTGCAGACCCCCTTCTCTGGCCCCAGCGTGCCAGCATCTGCTCTGGGCTGCTCCGAGCTGTGAGGCATCTGCACGGCTTGGAGATCATCCATGGCAACGTCAAGAGGTGAGAGCGGTGCCCTGGACCCTGCCAAGGGCCTGCGCTGCGGCGCCGAGCCGCACACCTCCCTGCGCCCCTTCCTCTCCCTCTTCCTTGGTCTCTCTTCTTTGGATTGCTCTCCCCTCCTCACCAACCTTGGATCTCTTCTCTCTTTCTTTGTTATTCCCTCAAAAATCAGGGTTTCTGCTGTCCCCACACACTGCCCACCTGTCACCATGCTTGTCTTTTTTGAGCACCCCACACCCTTGAGGCCTTTTACTTCCAACCCAGCAGCTGGTCTGGACCCGATCCTGGAGCTTTGGGCCAAGCCCCCTAGGATTTTGAGCTCCCCGCTCAGAGTCTTCCTGGACACCCACCCCCTGCTTATGTATCTGTTTGGCAAAAGCAACTCATGTCAGGGAAGCTTCCTGCAGGGTAGGCGTGCAACCCAGTGTCTTAGCACCGTGCTCCCAAGAACAAGAGAGTCCTGCCTGTGGACTGGCAGCATGGGGAGAGATTCCAGAAAATACCAGAAAATCTGGCAAAACTGACCTTGAAACTGTAGAACTCATACTTTCTCAAAGTTCTCTATTTGGCAAGTGGAAGCCTAGTCCTCTTTCTTTCTCCCCGATTTTTGTCTGATTGCACAAACAACTGTAATAGCCAGAAAGGAAACGAAAGGGTGAGAGGTCATTCTGGCGCTGGTGCCCTGACTCATTGCCTGGCCTCCCTTTCTTCAGCACCCGCCCACACAGAAGTCTTAGCCCCAAGGGAGCACTGTCACCTGCTTACCAATTCATATTTTCTTTTTTACCCCTTTATTTAAACTGGGCAAATCTTTCCGCATGTTGCATGCCATCATTTTTAGTGACTTTTTAGTTTTCCGTTGAAGGGATTGGCCCATAATTTACTTAACCACTTCTAGCAGTGGATATTGGACTTAATGTCTGGGTTTTTTTTTTTTAAGATTTATTTATTTGGTTGGTGGGGAGGGGCAGAGGGAGAGAGAATCCCAAGCAGATTCCACACTGAGCATGGAGCCCGATGCGGGGCTTGATCCCACGACCCTGAGATCACGACCTGAGCCAAAACCAAGAGTTGGACACTTAACCTACTGCACCACCCAGGTGCTCCTGATGTCTATTTTTTAAACAACGATTTAGGGTTAGTTTATTTTTTTTTAAGATTTTATTTTATTTATTTGAGACAGAGAGAGAGCACAAGAGGGGGTAGGGTGAGAGGGAGAAGCAGACTCCCTGCTAAGCAGGGAGCCCAATGTGGGACTTGATCCCGGGACTCCAGGATCATGACCTGAGCCGAAGGCAGTCGCTTAACCAACTGAGCCACCCAGGCGCCCTAGTTTGATTATTTTTACACATGTAACTTAGTTGTGTTCTTGCTTGTTGTCTGTTTTTTCCTTTGGAGTACCTTCTGAGAGTGTTGACTCCCATAGGTCAGATGCCTAGGTCCAAGAATATTTTTATTGTTCTTCGTATTCCCCATGCTCTGGGCAGGACCAGTCACAGAGGATGGTGGCATTTAGACTCGAGTCAGTCGGGCCAGAGCTGGGGTCAGAACAGTTTCAGAGGGGACCAAGCCTGCATAGCCCACGGTCTTAGCAAGCTGCAGTTGATGAGGGTTTGACATCTGTGGGGGCCGGGAAGGCCGCACCTTGTTGGCTACCCCAAATGCCATTCCTGGGGCAGCACAACTAATCTTAGCTCCATCCTCCTTTGCTGGTGGGAGTGGGTTGCCACTCCCTTCCCTTACCAGGACTGGCTCAGAAAATCCAGACGGTGGGTCTAAAGTGACCCTTAACTTGCCGGGGCCAATGCTGCTTATCATGAAGTTGTTTTCCAAAAGGCTCTCCATGGCAACCTCTTCTTGTCCAGCTCCAAGTGAGAAAGTTCTCTCTGCTTTCTTTCTTTTTTTTTTTTTTTTAAAGATTTTATTTATTTATTTGACAGAGAGAGAGAGCGAGAGCAGGAACACAAGCAGTGGGAGTGGGAGAGGGAGAAGCAGGCTTCCCAGCGAGCAGGAAGCCCGATGCGGGGCTCGATCCCAGGACCCTGGGATCATGACCTGAGCCGAAGGCAGAAGTTTATCAACTGAGTCACCCAGGCGCCCCTCTCTCTGCTTTCTTTTCCACAGCTCCAATGTTTTGCTAGACCAAAACTTCACCCCCAAGCTGGCTCATCCAGTGGCTCACCTGTGTCCTAACAACAAGAGGTCAAAATATACCATGATGAAGACTCACGTTTTCCAGGCCTCTGCTGCATATCTGCCGGAAGATTTCATCAGGGTGGGGCAGCTGACAAAACGAGTGGACATCTTCAGCTGTGGAATCGTAAGAGCTCCCTTCTCTGCTTGGCCTTGGGCCTGTCCTTATTTGTCCTTCCCACAGCTCCTTTGTAAGCAGAAGATATAATAGAGGCCCCTAGATAGAGTCCATCAAAATATAGTAGGGGTTGGCAAACTATGGCCCAGGGCATATTTTGTACAGCTTATAACTAAGAATAGTTTTTACACTTATAAAAGATGTAATAATACTGCTTATAAAAGAAGAATATGTGGGGCGCCTGGGTGGCTCAGTCATTTAAGCGTCCGACTTCGCCTCAGGTCATGAACTTGGGGTCCTGGGATTGAGCTCCTCGTCGGGCTTCCTGCGGTGGGGAGCCTGTTTCTCCCTCTACCCTCTGCCCCTCCCCCTGCTCATACTCTCTCACAGATAAATAAATGAAATCTTTAAAAAAAAGAAGAATATGTGACAGAGATTTGGTTTGTGGCCCACAAAGCCTAAAATACTGTCTGGCATGTTACAGAAAAAGTTGCCAATCCTTGAAGTATAGCAGCTTCTGTGAAGCTCCTTTCTTCTCTGTTTCCCAGCCAGCCAGCCAGCCAGCCATCTAATTGTCTATCCAGTTGTCTCTTCGTTTTGTCCATCCATCTGTACAGTCATCCATTCAACTCTTTATCCAATATCCATTCATTCAACTGCCACTCGTCCATTCAGTATCCACCTATGCATACCCCTCCCTCCTCACCACCACCGTCCTGTCATCACTGTGTGCTAGGCAGTTGGAATAAAAATATCACTAAAACACAGTCCTTCCCCCAGGATCTCATGGTCTGAGTATAGCAGTCTCCAAAGTACATTCTATGGAACACCCTTGAGGTCTCTGTAGGTTTGATGTATTTAAAGGGTTTTGTGGCCAAATAGGTATGACCAATGCTGGGTTAAGCAGAGTCAAGCAGATCTCTTTACCACAAAATTAATCAGAGACTTTAATATGGTAATGAGCTGTTAGTCTAATTTAATTGTGAATTCACCACAGCTCGGCAAATGGTACGCAGCACTTCCCAAATTCATTTGACTGTGGAACTTTGTTTCCTCAGTCTCTCCACACCAGTGTCCCATGGAACCCAGTCTGGGAAATGCTGGCTGAGAAAAGCGACAGTCTTTGGCTGGCCTTTGCCAAGAGCAAACAGCTGCCTCTTGGACCGTGCCCTCTCTCTTCCTCTCTACCCTCAAACTCTGTGCTTCTTCTCTCTCTACTCTGTCTCTTGTCCGTCCACCTCTCCCCCTAGTGCCCTCCCGAGCCACCTTCTGCTCTGATCCTGACCTCCAGATGCCAGATTCTACTTCCTTCTGTCTCCCATGGGATCTTCTGGTTTCCTTGCCCCCATCAGCTCCACTGTGAGGGGCTCAGTGAAGCTCAGTGGGGCTAGCCCAGGCTCCTGCTCTTCTAAAAACCAGCAGGACTGAACGCTGAGGCTGCCAGGCAATCCAGTGTAGAGCTTAAGAGTGTGGGTTTGAGTCCCAGCTTAGTTACTTTCAGCTGTGTGACCTCGGGTACCTCACCTATAACTCTGGGCTGTTTTGTCCTCTGTAAAATGGGATAGTGACATATATGGAGATTAATAAGATAATGTATACAGTTAGAGTACCCTACACTTATCAAGATGATTATTGTTGTGGTATTCCTACCTTCACACTCACTCCTGATTTTTGTTTACCCCTGACTTTTTTTTTTTTTTTAAGAGAGAGAGTGTGAGTGTGAAGAGGGGAGGGGCAGAGGGAGAGGAGAGAGAATCTTAAGCAGGCTCCAGGCTCAGCACAGAGCCCAGTGCCAAGCTCGATATCACAACTGAGAGGTCTTGATCTGAGTTGAAACCAAGAGTCTGAAGCTTAACCGACTGAGCCACCCAGGTGCCTGCTCTTTTTTTTTTAATTTTATTTATTTATTATAGAGAGAGAGGGAGTGTGTATGGGGAGGGGGAGGGGCCCAGGGAGAGAGAGACAGAATCCCAAGCAGACTCTATGCTGAGTGCTAAGCCCTGAGCCCGATGTGAGTCTCCATTGCACGACCCTGAGATCATGACCTGAGCTGAAATCAAGAGTCGGACGCTCAACTGACTGAGCCACCCAGGCGCCTCTTGCCCTTTGACTTTTTAACTCAGCTCTTGCTGTAAGAATTTTTAAAATTAATTTATGCATTCCATGCCCACTGGCTCCCTTCACTCTCAGCTCAGCCACTAGCTGACGGTATGATTTTGAACTCTGATTCCTCCTGTTGGGAACACTGCATTTCTCAGTGGGTTTTTGTTTTTTTTTTTAAGATTTAATTTATTTGTCAGAGAGAGAGAGTGGGAAAGCACACACAAGCAGGGGGAGCGGCAGGCGGAGGGAGAAGCAAGTGTCCTGCTGAGCTGGGAGCCCGATACGGGACTTGATCCCAGGACCCTGGGATCATGACCTGAGCCGAAGGCAGACGCTTAACTGACTGAGCCACCCAGGTGCCTCTCAGTGTTTTTTTTTTTTTTTTTTTCTCCCCCAAGCACTATATGACCTCTCTAAAAGGTTCAGCGCAGAGCCTGCCTGTGGAAGGGGCAGAGGGAATGTGTGTTTATTCTTTTTCCCTTGTTCTTCCCTCCCTTCCTGGCAGGAGCTGGTTGGGAATCCCTTTTCAGGGTGCGCCCACCCACTTGCTGCAGGGTGCCCTCTGCTGCCCCCTGCTGGCCACTGCCGATCTGTGATTAACCCAGCAGGCCCTTCCTCTGGGGATGGAGAATTTCTTGGCAGTCAAGTGACTGTATTCTGACTTGCTTCGAGGGAGGTTGTGGGAGAGAGACTTGAAGCGAAGGGTGGGGTGCTCACTCCCTTATATTCACAACCAGCTCACCATTTACCAGGTAAGGATGCAGGCTCAGATTTTTGTCATTTAGTGATTAAGAGAGTCAGAATTTGAACCCAGGCAGGCCTGACTGTAGAGCCCTTAACCACTATGCTCTGCTGAGAATTTCTGTTCAAAGCAGGTTTCCCCTTTATTAAGACATGTATCGTGGTTTGTCAACGTTGTGGTGTCTCACACTGGTGCAGGGTTGTGCTCCTTCTGTGAGTGGGTGAATTAATGAACAGATCATGTGAATAAAGTCCTAGGAGGAAACATGCTTTAGTTGTTGCTGAGACTTTCTGTGTAGACTAGTCTTACATACATGGATTCCTCCTTTCCCTGAGATTGACGTAGCAACGCCTGCTTACCATTTTTTTTTTTAAGATGTATTTATGTATTTATTTGTCAGAGAGAGAGAGAGCACAAGCAGGGGGAGCGGCAGGCAGAGGGAGAAGCAGGTTCCCCGATGAGCAGGGAGCCCGATGCAAGACTCCATCCCAGGACCCTGGGATCATGACCTGAGCCAAAGGCAGACGCTTAACCAACTGAGCCACCCAGGCGCCCAGCCTGCTTACCACTTCTGATGGGTTTTTAAATGAAATGATCGTTAAAATATAGTGTGTGTGTGTGTGTGTGTGTGTGTGTGTGTGTGTGTAGATACATGTATATATAGAAAAATGTGTATATGTGTATGTGTATATACACATTTATATATAAATATGTAGTATGTGTGTGTAAATATACACATTTACACATACAAATATTTATATATACATACATATTTTTATATAAGTATATAGTATGCGTATATAAACATACATATTATATATTTATTTGGATATACTTATACATGCAAAACTGACGGTAATACGCACACGTTTGGTTTTCCATCCTCCCTGACTTGCTATTCATTCAAACCTTCTACTAGCAGCTGGGTGGTGGTGTGTTTAGTTAGGAGGAGGTATTTAGTGATATTCCCATGTTCCCAATTTGGGGCAAGTGTCTGTACTGGTAAATGGCAGAACCGGGCCTGGAGCTCAGCCTTTGTTACTAAGAAGAATCGTTGCTCTTGGCCCGAATCTCCTGCCTGAACTTTTGCATGAGTGTCTGAACTGTGCTAACTGCATGTTCTCTCCAGGTGCTAGCTGAGGTCCTCACTGGCATCCCTGCAATGGATAACAACCGAAGCCCCGTTTACCTGGTAAGGGAACCAGTCACTTCTGGCTCACAGCTACTGGGGGGGGGGGCTTTGGGGAGGGGGGTCAGGAGGGCAAGCACCTCCACTCTACCCATTTTACAGATGGTTATGAGGTCTCAGTCTGCAGTTTGATTTGCAAAGTAACCTTAACCTCTCGCCCTCTTACCAGTCAGCCAAGTTCATGATAAGAGAACTCAGAATGTTTAGGGGAATCCCGTTTCTTCTCTCTACACATCTGGCAATCAAATAGGATTTGTCTTCAAGTTGGTAAAAGTCAGCCCTCTTTAACAGGTTCCTATAATAAAAGCAATAATTTTCATTTTGTGGGTTCAAAGAACTATCATTCACATATATACACATACAGGGTCATTTCAAAAATATAACAGCAGAGCCAGACTCTGTGTTTGGCACTTTACATATATTATCTTTCTAAGTCATCACAAAATCCCCCCGAGATTGACAGGGTCATGACGTTCACCTGCCCTTGAGACAAGCAGGCTCTGAGGTTCACCCGAGATCTCAGCTTTGCTAAGTGGCAGAGCCGGACTTCCACATCAGGTCTTCTGGACTGCAGCTCCTGAGTTCTTAACCCCGACACTATGCTGACTGTTTAATTCTCATGACAGTCCAGCTATATGAATTCAGGATTATTATCATCCCCATTTCGCAGATGAGAAAACTAAGGCCAAGGTGAAGAGACTTGTGTCACGCCCCCCGCCTCAGTGAGATCAGTGGTGGAACTGGGATTTGAACCCATGTCTTCTGCACAGTTCCAAATCCTGTGAAAGCTTTACTCCTCTTCATCAGTTTGAGAGGAATCACCTTTCTTGACTTGAGGGTTGAGGCCATTAGATCAGCTGGCTTTTTTTGGTGACTGGGCCCCCAAAACATCCCCTGGGCCCTGGGGTGGGGAGCTGAAGGCCTTCCTACCCACAGAAAGTCATTCCACTTTTGGAGACTGGGCCCCCGATATTACAAAGAGGTGGGTTTCGGCACCTCAGATGTGGTTTGGGGCAGTTTGAGGTGGTTTCTCATATTCTGACAGTTTTCTTGGGGTGAATTCCCTAACAGTCCTCTGGGTCTCCCTGGATGAACGTCGCAAGAGGAATCTTTTGAGATACTTATGTGAAATTTCCTAGAAGGTGTTTTTGTTAATGGTTTCTAAAAATGTGGAGGAAGGGGCGCCTGGCTGGCTCAGTCAGTGGAGCATGCGACTCTTGATCTTGGGGTCATGAGTTCAAGCCCCATGTTGGGCGTAGAGTTTACTTTAAAAAAAATGTGGAGGATAGAATTTTTTTTAAAAACCTTAATAAAAAAATGAAGATTGAGCATGTTATTAAGATTCAAATCAGAGATGAAAACTGCTTGCACCTAGGGGTGGGAGGAAGCAGGCCTCTCTTCCACCCTCGGGGGAGTGTTTTCCGAAGTGGCCACGGTGTTTTCCGAAGGTCATCGGGTGGTTTCCATCGAAGTTTAACGTGGGTGTACCTTCTGATGCGGTCATTTCACGTACACAGAGGGACACATACATACAAGGGAGGAAAGAGGGACACGGCTGTTCACTGTAGCATTATTTATGTCAGGAAACAGCTACAAACAAGTAAAATATCTGTCAGCTGGGAGGTGGTGAAGGAAATTACAGTATAATCACACACCCTGGTAATTCCATGAAATTGTTTGTAAATAGGTTTATAATGTTTATAAGTAGTGAGAATGAAGTGTATAACGTGATCAATTTTGACATATGTATATATCTGTGAAATCGTCACCTAGTCATGTTTGTGACCGTGCCTGCTACCCTGGACGTTACCTCTTGTCCTTGGTAATTCTGCCCTCCCAGCCCCTGCCAGCCCCTGCCAGCCCCTGCCGCCACTGATGTGCTTTCTGTCACCGCACGAGGTTCCACTCTCTGGACTTTCATATAAATGAAATCAGAGAGAGTTGGCTCTTTTGGTGTCTGGATTTTTCCACTCAGCATGGTTATTCTGAGATACGTCCCATGCTCTTTGTGTGGGTCCATGGTTCATTTAGTTTTGCTGAGTAATGTTCCATTGCAGGGATGAGCCACCGTGTGTCCACTCATCTGTTGATGGACATTTGGTGTGTTCCCAGTTTTTGACCGTTACACCTGTAGATGCCAGGTACTTTTCTGTGCAGGTCTCACTGTGGACATGTGCGTTCATTTCTGTTGAGGTATAATTCACACTTGTGAGGTGTACAGAATGGTATAAATTTTGGAAAGTGTGGACAGTTATGTAACCAACACCACCATAATCTAGATATGGAGTATTTTCATCATTCCAGAAAATTCCCTTGGGCAACTTTATAGTAAGTCCCTTCTCCCTGCTTCCTGTTCTTATTTCTTTTTTAAAAAAATTTATGTATTTACTTATTTATTTGACACAGAGAGAGAGAGAGAGAGAGCACAAGCAGGCAGAGCGGCAAGCAGAGGAAGAGGGAGGAAGGCTCCCTGCAGGGAGCCTGCTTCTCCCTCTGCCTGCCGCTCCCCCAGCTTGTGCTCGTTCACTCTCTCTCAAATAATAAATGAAAAAACGTGTGTGTGTGTGTATTTTAAAGCATATCCCAGATATTATGTTATTCCACCCACTAGGGGTTTGAAGCAGGGGCAAGACATAATCAGATTTATGTTCTGAAAAGATCTCCCTCCCCAGGCGCCCCGGATCCTTGCATTTCTTTCTTAAAATCCCGTTTTCCTCGAGGTTTTGCAGGTCTGGCGCCGTCGCGGGGGCGGTTGGGACACCAGTGCGGTGCAACCCCGCATCCCTGCAGCTCACACGGGGGTGCTTATCCTCTTCTTCCCGCAGAAGGATTTACTCCTCAGTGCAGTCCCCAGCAGCAGCCCCTCGCAGTGCGGCAGGAAGACCGGCGTGGAAACGGTGATGGCTAAGGAGATCTGCCAGAAGTACCTGGAGAAGGGAGCCGGGCGGCTGCTGGACAACTGCGCCGAGGCCTTGGCCATAGCCGCCTGCCTCTGCCTGAGGAGGCGGAACGCCAGCTTGGCTGAGGTGAGCCCCATTCTCCGCCCGCCCTGGCCATGGGCCCTGCCCTGGGTCGGGTGGGCCTCCTGTCCTGGTGGCCGCATGGTTCTGCTTTACCAGGAACTGGGGTATGGCTCAGGGTTGAGGCCTTTACCTAGAAGTCGCTTCATAAACCAGGGCTGTATTTGGTTGCAAGCAACAGCTCATATTGGAGCTCATAGAAGCCAAGTAGGGAAGCGAAGGGGTAAGGGTAGCTCAGGGGCCTGAGGGTGGTGTGCTGCGGGCCTTGGGGGGCCCAGGGTCCCAGGCTCAGATGTTAACGGAACACTGCTTTCTCTGAATCGGCTTGATTCCTCCTCTCTTGTCTGTAGACTCCCTTTTCCTTGCCTCTACCCTCTTGGCTAGGGGATATGGCTGTCTGTATTGTTTGTATGTTATGGTTCTACCCCCACTGGGCGATCAAGTCTCCAGGTCCCAATTCCAGTTTCTCATTGAGAGAGCCTGTTTGGCCTACCTAGAGTCGGTAGTCCACCTGTTGGCCAATCAGGTAAGGTGAGGGGAGTGGGGTCCAGTATATAAACCTAGTGGTCAGGGGGTCTACCCCAGAAAGACGGAAAGGGCTAAGTCCCAGAGGAAGGGAGCATCTTTAGCCCCTGGGCTTAGGCAGATACTCCAGAAATCAACCACATTAGGAGATAAAACATTTTCCTATGGATGCGGTATAGAGTGGTGGTTTCCATGGTAACAAGTGTAAATTTGGGCACCACTGCTAGATATTTCTAAGGACAAAATAGCTGCCCGAGAGGATTCTTTGAGACCATCTAGCTGAGTGATTTTCTTTTTCTTTTTCTTTTTTTTTTTAAAGATTTTATTTATTTATTTGAGAGAGAGAGAGAGAGAAACAGCATGAGAGGGGAGAAGCAGGCTCCCCGCTGAGCCGGGAGCCCGATGTGGGACTCGATCCCGGGACTCTGGGATCATGACCTGAGCTGAAGGCAGTCGCTTAATCAACTGAGCCACCCAGGCGCCCTAGCTGAGTGATTTTCAAGTGGTTTCTGGCAGAGAGGGGTGCCTTGAAGTTACCTCAGGAATTGCTTTCGTCAGCAAGAGGGTTTGGGGAGCTGCAGGCCCCATGCATGACTACCACCAGACACCCCCTTTCACTTCACATAATCATATTGGATTCTCAGTATTTTATCTGAGGGAAGTTTTAGTAGCGGGAAAAAAAAAATCTTCAAACACCACTGCTATAGCCCTAGCCTGCCATTTTCTAGGAAGTAAAGTTCCAAAGAAGAGAAGATGAGGCCACAGAGTGAGTTTCTGTCAGAGCCCTCTGGACTCCTGTTTCATTCCCTTGTTCACCATCTTGCACTATGACGTGGCAGGAGCTAGAGACCCTCGACTCAAGACCCAAGTCATTGTTCTTCACCTGGGGTGTTCCCTAAGTGCCTGAGTGGTACAGCACTCAGTCAGTCATTCAGCACTTGTGTGCTGGGCCCTGGGGGATAAATCTGTGAAGAAGGCAGGCCCAGTTTTACTTTCCTGGAGCTCTCAGACAATGCACAGTGATCATCTAGGTGAGGAGCATTGGGATGGCATGTGATGGGGCCCCACCCAGGGGGACTTTCCCTGAGGAAGTGATGTGTAAGCAGATAAAGAGCAATCCAAGCAGATGGAACAGCTCATGCAAATGGCCTGAGGTGAGAGAAAGCCTGGCTTGGTCAAGGGTCTGAAAGGTCAGAGTGGCTAGAACAAAAAGTACATGGGGAAGAGTGGCTTGTGGTGGGGCTGCTGAGGAAGGAGGAGCCCTGTAATTGAGGGCTTTGCAGGCACAGTTAGGATTTTGAGGAAGACACTAGGGGTTTGAAGCAGGGGCAAGACATAATCAGATTTATGTTCTGAAAAGATCTCCCTCCCCTAACCACTTATTCCTCCTTTCAGGCTTTCCTCTCTTCATTTATTTTGTTCTTTTGTTCATTGTCTCAGTTAAAGGACACTCAGAAAAGCTGCTATAATGAGGAGACTCCAAAATTCAGTGTTTTAAATGAGATAGAAGTTTATTCTCTTTAGCTTAACCCCTTGACTGTAGGGAGTTCAGAGCTGATGTGACAGTGCCACTTTATTGGGAACCCCAGGTTCCCTTTGTATTGTTGCTCTGCTATCCTTACTGTGTGGCTTCCAGTTCAGAGTCTAAGACGGCTGCTCTAGCTCAGGCCATCACATCTGCATTCCAGCCACTGAACAGGGGGTTAAGAGAAAGAGAACACACTCCCTACCTGCCCCCTTTTTTTTTTAAGATTTTATATATTTACTTGTCAGAGAGCACAAGTAGGGGAAGCAGCAGGCAGAGGGAGAAGCAGGCTCCCCACTGAGCAAGGACCCTGGGATCATGACCTGAGCGAAGGCAGACTCTTAGCCGACTGAGCCACCCAGGCATCCCCATTCCCTGCCTTTTAAAGGTGTGACCTGGAAATGCACACATCACTTTTTCTCACACTCCATAGGCCATAATCTAGTGACATGGCCACACATAGCTTCAAGGGAATGTAGCTTTTAGCTTGACAAATATTTATTGAGCATATACTGTGAAGATTTGTCTCAAGAGGTGACATTTGAACTGGACCTTGAAGGATGCGGAGGTATTTGTTGTGTAGAATAAAGGGGATAGGGCATTTGAAGTATACAAAGAGGAATGAGAAATTGTCCTTGCCCTCAGTATTTCACAAATAAACTAGGAAGATGAGAGGTCATCTGGGTCATGAACTTGAAGACAAGTAAGCCTAGGGCCAGTGGTCAGCTCTGCTATCTACTGGCTAAGCAGCCTTAGACAAGGAACTTCTCTGATCTTTATTTTAAAAAATATTTTATTTATTTATTTGACAGAGAGAGAGAGAGAGAAAGCACAAGCAGGGGGAGCAGCAGGCAGAGGCAGAGGGAGAAGCAGGCTTCCTGCTGAGCACGGGGGAAGCAGGGGGGACTTGATCCCAGGACCCTGGGAACATGACCTGAGCCGAAGGCAGACGCTTAACTGACAGAGCCACCCAGGCACCCCAGCTTCTCTGATCTTTTAATTTTTTAACCTATAAAAACTCATTGTGCATTTTGTGTCAAAAGTTCTTTGTAAATTGCAAAGGTGCTGAGCAAGTGAGATGTGTCATTGTTATTAAGGGTATGCTTGTATGGGCGCCTGGGTGGCTCACTTGGTTGGGCAGCTGCCTTTGGCTCAGGTCATGATCCTGGAGTCCCGGGATCGAGTCCTGCGTTGGGCTCCCTGCTCGGCGGGGAGTTTGCTTCTCCCTCTGACCATCCACCCTCTCATGCTCTCTATCTCATTCTCTCTCTCAAATAAATGAATAAAATCTTAAAAAAAAAAAGGGTATGCTTGTATGCCCTTTGTGTGTGTGTGTGTGTGTGTGTGTGTGTGTGTGTGTGTGTGTGTAAAGAAGACATTCCTTCCCTGACTCCTTCTGATTTCCTAACCTCCCTAATTAGAAATGCCCTCAAGGGCAAGTAATATCTATATTACTTAGGGCATTTCCAGTTCAAAGTGATAGAACTCAGGTCAAACTCTTAGTCTCTCTCTCTCTCTCTCTCTCACACACACACACACTCACACAGCAAGGGAGATTGGGAGGGAGTATATGAATGAGTGAATGAACGATCAATTAATGAATGAATCTATTGGCTCATGTAACCCAACAGCACACAGGACAGGCATTGCTAGGCCAGCTAGACGCAGGGTCTCCACCAGCAAAGGTTCATTTATCTGTGTCTCTGTGCTTGTGTCCCACTTCTCCATCTCTTGCCCCTGCTTTATTCTTTATAGGGGTCTCCACTTTTTCCTACTGTGAATGGGTTTTCTTTGTGGGTGGAGAGTCTGGGTCAACCACTAGAAAGGAATCGGGAGTCCTTCCTCAGCAAGCTTTAGGTAGAAAAATCCCAGAGAAGGATTCTAATTGGCCAGCTTGGGTCACGTGCCCAAACCTGGATCATTAATGTGTCAGAGGAATGGGATACAGCGATTGGTCCATCTTGGTCATGTGCTCTCATCTATGGCTAGGGTGGATGGGGGCAAGTTCAGCTCTGTTCAAAGGGCTTTCGCTGTTCTTCCAGACAAAGCAATAAGAATCAACATTGGATTCTTCATTGTTTTTCCAGAGGCCTGGGATACCTGTAAACTTTTTGATTTCAGAAAGAGGTTTTTGTCTTGTTTTGTTTTGTTTTAAAGTAGGCCTCCATGCCCAGAATGGAGCCCAACATGGGGCTTGAACTCACAACCCTGAGATCAAGACCTAGCTGAGATAAAACGTCCAATGCATAACGGACTGAGCCATCCAGGCGCCCCGATTTCAGAAAGAATTGTTGTCTCTCCTCTCCCCAAGGTGTGTGGCTCTGTAGCGGCTGTGGAAAAGCAGCTCAGAGGTCAGGAGACGTTGCTCCCTTTGAGTGGGCTTTCTGAGGGCACAGGCTCTTCCTCCAATACCCCAGAAGAAACAGACGACGTGGACAATTCCAGCCTCGAGGCCTCCTCCTCCATGAGGGTAGCACCCGGGGCTGGGGCTGCCGCCTCACTCCCTTCAACAGAGGATGGAGAAGGCAGGCTGCAGGTGTGTGTCGGAGTGCCGGCAGACTCCTTCTCTGTGGCCTCTGCCAGGCTGGAGCCTCCCCAGGATGGTAAGCGTGGGGAGATCTGAGTGCATATGCAAGCTCATTCATGTGTCTCTAACTCAGCCCATCATTTATTCCTTCTATTGCTCTCATTCATGCCTTCCTTGATTATTCAGCCATTCACCTACCAGCAGACTGCACACAAAGAAACCTCGGATGGGGGTCATCCTTGATACCTCCCTCTCTCTCTGGCCCCTTATGTCCAGTCCATCACCTAGTGTATTCATTGGCCTAAATATCTATCAGCTCCATCTGCTTCTCTGCATTGCCTCGCGCCCCTCCCCCCTTAACTAAGCTACTGTCCTCTTGCTGGATGACCACACAGCCTTCCTGTGTCCTCCCTTCCTTGTTTTTATTTTTTATTTTATTATTTTATTTTAATTTTTTATTTTCAGAGTTTTTTTTTTTTTAAAGATTTTATTTCTTTATTTGACAGAGAGGCACAGCGAGAGAGGAAACACAAGCAGGGGGAGTGGGAGAGGGAGAAGCACGCTCCCCGCCGAGCAGGGAGCCCGATGCGGGGCTCGATCTCAGGACCCTGGGATCATGACCTGAGCCGAAGGCAGACGCTTAATGACTGAGCTGCCCAGGTGCCCCCAGAGTGGTTTTTGAAAACAACTCATGCCACCTCTTATTTAAAGCCCTTGTGTGGCTCCCCATTGTACTTAGGGACCAAGTCAAAACTCTTACTATCTCTGTCTCTCCTTTCCAAATATTCCAGGCTTCCTTCTGAAATAAAAATTTGGGAGGCCTTTTCAATACAGTGTCCCTCTCCCCTAATAAACATGGCTTAATGAATGTCCCAGGCTTTACCATTCCTATTGCTCCTCCTCCCACTGGGAGGAGAGAGGAGGGAAAAGAAAGAGGGGGTGTAAATGTTCATCCCAACCTCTCCCATCCATGGAAGGAGTATGGAAGCCCCCTCCTTTCAGAAAAGTGGGGGCAGGTGGTGGGACTTCACTGCAAAGGCAGAAATAATGAAAATGCTCATTATGCTCAGGGCTTGATTCAGAAATCTGATTTAAGTGAGAAACTGAGCAAGTCTGACTTTCTAAGAACTATAATAATAGTAACTATTTCCAGATGCCTTTTGTTGAAGATCTTTCTTTAAACTTTCTGAACATCAGCTACAGAGACTTCACAGAGAATCGAGATCAATGAGGCCAAAAAGAAACTGATGGAGAATATCGTGTTCTACAAAGAAGGGAAACTGGACAGCATTGAGCTTTTTGGCCCCTGATGACCAGAGCACAGCTTATCCTCGATTAGAAAGACAAACACCAAATCAAGAAAAAGATCTGAGGCAGAATCATAATCTCCCAGGAAATACCAAACGCCAGCTTTCCTGGACCAGGGAGAGAAGCTTCCATCTTGCCAGAGTGAATTAGGGAAGAAGGGACCTCAGCTTTTTAAGACACAAAAATCCATGAAGTCATCGTTCTTTCTGGGATTTGTCAATCAGAGCTGGGGATCAGGAGACCGAAGTGGAAACCCTGGTCCATAGGCCCAGGATGTGGGCAATTTTGTGGTTTTGGGATGTATGTGGTAATACTGTTACTCAGCTCACACCCCTCAAGAACTGAGGGAGGATTGTCAGTTGCACTTTCCAAAGTTAAGTCTTCTGGGTCCTATTTGCCGACAACCACCTGCAAACTTCCATGGCCTGAAAGATTCTCAACTTGTGTCCCAGTACAGTTCTTCATTCACAGTCTGGAGTTTACAAATGCCAGACACCTGGCAAAGAGCTCTGCAGGTTTTCCACGTCTCTCTCAGAAATCTTGTAACCCACAGATATTTATTTAATGCCTACTCAGCACCTTTATTGTCCCATCCCACTAATGCTAATATTTTTAGTGGAGCTTTTATTTTGAGAGTATGTGTTATTTATGGGTGAATGAAGAATCAGAGAGCTAGTTTTATGTCCAGTTCTGTTGCTATTCAAATCAATTATTTAATTTCTGGAACTTTGGTTTCCTTGTAAGTAACACCTGTTCATTTTCCTTCCTTGGTTTGTTGGAACAGGTGAGACATGGTTATAGAAGTACTTTGAAAATGCCCTTATCCTTTTTTATAAAATAAATACATTAAACATATATTTCTGCCATGTACCTAAGGTTTATGCACTGGGTATTTTTCTGAAAAGTCATGTTGCAAGTATTTTTGTGAAACAAATGCTATTTTAAATTCAGTGTGTCCTATTTTAAATAATCCTACTGTAGTGATTTTTTTTTTGTAAAATAAAAATACATTTGTAAAGTCAACAGATCTCTTGCAATTAGTTTTGTGTCCAGATGAATTTGTTTGGAAAAGGGGCTCTGGGCCCATGTTAAGGGGGTATCATGGAGTGCCTAAGAGTTGGGGGTGGCTATAAATGTTGGTGTTAGTAGCTTTGTGATCTTAGGTCAAGTTAGGGAGTTACTCTGAGCCTCTGTTTTTCATCTATACAATGGGGAGAATAAAAAGTACCTGTTTCCTGGGTTTGTCAGGGCAAAGGGAAGATCTTGCTTCATGAAAGCATTCAGCAGTCCCCAAACAAGATCAGCTTTGTACTGATATGTAACAGAGCTGGGTGGGCTGCGGTCCCAGCAGACCGTGATCTGTACCGACACCCGTTTTAAGCTCTGGTGGCTGTGAGGATTCAACTAGAGTGTGTTACATGCCACAGACAGGACCCAGCATGTGGTAAGCCCCTTACAGTTATGAGTAGGGTGCTTTCAGGGCTGTTTGAGCAATAGAGGGCTAGTGCCAATAGGGTAATGGTTATCCAGACATACCTGCATTTCCAGACCATGGCTTCATACATTTGTGGCAAGGTCAATGAACCACTTCTGTCAATCTACAGACCTTTTCCCCTCAGCAAGCTGTAAAAACGTACATATACATTTCTGTATATCAATTCCAGGGGCTTATGGGCACTGTGATGCCTTTCTATGAATCCTCAGAAGGAAGGCCTTTTTTCTTTTTTTAGTTAATAAATGCACATGACCAAAAAAATCCAGTAGTACAAACGATTATGTGGTGGAAAGCAAGCCTTTTTTTTCCACTGGGATTTTAGTGTCTCCCTTCTGCCCACAGGCAACCACTGTTCCTAGTTTGGGGTATCGTTCCAAAGATGATGAAAATTTTATCTTTTTGCTTAACTAATCTAATCAATCATTAGATTTCCGAGTTAGATTGAGCTGAAGACAGTTGGAATTTCTGGCTTCAGCATGGGTATATGTTTTCACATCCTTTTTGGCCATTCTTCCTCAGTAATACTTTTGGATTACTTTAGTCTTTTTGCCTGGTATTCCTTTCTAAGGATATTCCATAATTTGTAGGACTAGCTTCCAATGCTAGATTTTGAGGTGGTTTTTCATTCTTGTAACTTCAATTGGTGCTGCCTTCCAAAGAGGTTGTACTAATTTACACTGAATCAGGTCTGGGAATGCATTTCCCCACATCCTCAGCTACAAAGAGTATTATCATGCTTTTTGATCGACAATTAAAAAAATTTATGATTTTACTTGTATTTTTAAGTGACAAAGGTGGAGCCATTTTTGTAATTTGCATCTGTTGGTTCATTTGTGTTTCCATTTTATTTTTTTAAGGTTTTATTTTAATTCCAGTTAACATGTTTCCATTTTAATACCTAAGTATCCCATAAAGAAAGTTTCATCAGGTGCCTGGGTGGCTCAGTAGGTTAAGAGTCTGCCTTGCGCTCAGGTCATGATCTTAGGGTCCTGAGATGGAGCCCCACCCACATCAGGCTCCCTGCTCCCTATCCCATTGCCGCTTCCCCTCTGCCCTCTTTCTTTCTGTTAAATAAGTAAAATCTTAAAAAAAAGTTTTTACATAGTAAGGACATTAGTCCTTCGTCATGTGTTGCGAATATTTTGCTAAGTTTGTAACTTGTCTTTCAACTTTGGTATTTTTTGCCTGGCAAAAATTTCACATTTTACATTTTTGTGTAGCCTTTTTTTCTTTTTTTAAATTTTTTAAAAAATGTTTTGTTTATTCATGAGAGAGAGAGAGAGAGAGAGAGAGAGAGAGAGAGAGAGAGAGAGGCAGAGGGAGAAGCAGGCTCCCAAGGAGCAGGGAAGCCCAATGCGGGACTCAATCCCAGGATCCCCGTATCACGACCCGAGCTGAAGGCAGACGCTTAACCATCTGAGCCACCCAGGCGCCCCTGTGTAGCCTTTTTTTCCTGTGGCTCCTAACTTCCGACTCTGCCACTTTCTGGGTGTGTCACTTGCTCTCTATGAGCCACAGTTTCCTGCTCTGCAAATGGGGTCAGGATGTTGGTGTGGGTTCGAGGAGAGGATAGGGATCTGAACCCGTCTGGCTAAGCGGCAAAACGCTGAGGAGCGGGGAGCGTCACTCTGGGAAGGTGGTCGGCCGACGCCCCCAATCCCATGGAAGGCTGGCTGGGGGAACTGCGGCCCTGCCTAGCTTCGCGCTCTTCTGGCCCACGTGAGTGGCTCCGCCTCGCCTTGCTTCCGACCAATGCCTCCAAGCCTCCTGGCCAACAGGCGAGCTCCGTCTTGCTCGGAGTCCCGCCCCTTGCCGATTCGAGCAATGGGCGCCCTCCGTTCTGCGCAAGGCCCGCCCCCGCCGCACGCCGGGCCGCGGGCCGCAGGGCTCGTTCCGGGAGGCGGGCGCGGCGGAGGCCGGTGTGGCCGGAGCTCGGGCGGAGGCCGAGCTCGGGCTGCAGGACTGGGGCGGGAGGCGAGCAGACGGCCGGGGAGGGACGTTCGGGACGTGGGGGCGGCGGGGCCGACGTCTCGGCGGCGGCAGGGACGGAAGGGGCAGCCGCGCGAGCCGGAGGGTGTCCCGTGGCGGCCGAGCGCGGTACCGCCGGCTCCTGAGGGGCGCCTCGGCCCCTCGGGCCCGGGGCTGGTCGGCGGGGCCGCGGGAGCAGGGCGGGCTGCGCGCCGTGTCTGGCCCTGCCCTGCGGCCCGCCCTCGCCATTCCGGGCCTCTGGGCCAAGCGCCCGCCAAAGGCTGTGGGTCCGGTCGCCATGTGTGGACTCTAAAGCGCCTTGTAGTCTTTTGAAGCGCTTTGACATCCCCGAAGGGCTCTGTATTGCAAACTAAATCGAAGCGCTTTGTAATCCCGGAAGCGCTTTGACATCTCCCTAGGAGCGCTGTGCAAACTGAAGCGCTTGGTGATCGCGGAAGCACGTTGTGGGTTTGGAAACCAAACCGACGTCCTTAGTAAATCTCGGATCGTTTTGACTAAGGCGAAGCGCGTTGGCATCTCCGAAACCTTGAGAACTGTGATGGGCAGTGGAAAGAAGGGGGAAAGGTCAGTGAGGCCCCTGACTCTGACCTTCTGGCTTGCCCTCCCCCAGGGGACCCAGGGTGGCGGGAGTCTAAAAGGGCTGGTGTTGGAATCCAGGCCCCCTCTTTACCTTGCAGGTGCCCATGGCGTCGGAGCGGCGCAAGGTCAAGTACCAGTGGAGCAGCACTTCGGAAGGGTGTCCCCGCAAGCGCAGCTGCCTCCGGGAGCCCAGTGATGTGGCCCCCTCCAGCCGGCCAGCTCCTAGCTCTGCGTCGCGTTCAGGAGGGACCAGCAGCCCCAAGCGTCTGAAAGTCCAGAAGGAGGACGATGTGGCCTGCACGCCGAGGTTGCCCCGGGGCTCATCCTGCCGCAGAAATTCCTCCTCCTCGCATTCTTCCGGCGCAGGTGTGGGCGGGGCTGCCGCCAAAGGCTGCCTGATTCGGAGCACACGGGGATTCCTCTCGTCAGAGGGATCCCCGCTTCGCCTTGTCAACCCCTCTCCAGGAGAAATGGCTTCTCTAGAGGAGGAAGCCTGCAGCCTTAAGGTAGGTGGCTGCGACGCCTTGGAATCGGTGAAGCCCCTTCCACGTGGCTTGAGCTGTTGGTGGAAGGAGACTAAAAAGGGTCGTGTCCTTCAAGATCTTTGGGGTCTTCCCAGAGGTCTGCTTATCACAAACCCGGGGGACCAAGGGGGGTGGCCTACAGTGACATAGAGAGGTAGTTTTCAAACTTGGCAGCACTTTAACACTACTTGGGAGGTTTGTGCCTGCTTCTCATTCCCATTTAATTGGGCGGGGTGTGGCCGGCGTTTCTAGATTTGTAAATGCTCCTCCAGTAAATTGTACTGTGCAGCCAGCCGGGCGGGAGGATAACTGCAGTAGAAGGTGCATTGCCTGCTCAAGAGACACAGACCTATTTATTTCAGTTGTAAATTTAAGGAATTGTGCCCTTGTACTTTGAACTTCTCTGAGTCACAGAACTGAGAATACGAATTTGGTTCTTGGTGTAGCTTTTTACTGAAGTTACAGTTTCTAGCACCTTGGGGTTTTGCTTGGTGGGTAGGGTAGAGTTTGTTTTGGAGCTTAAACATTTAGTTCCCCTTTGGGAACATGCAGGAGGGTTTCTCAGAGGAGGTACATTTCCTCCACTGTTTCGTTTTATATGAACTTAAAAGATAAAATTTTCCTGGTGAGGGAAAGTTGAACATGAGTCTGTGAGAAATAGAAGCAAGTGCAATTCATCTCTCATAGTTGGCTGTTTCCCTGGTGAGAGAGTACTAGCTAACGTTGCTGGCCCAAGTGTGAGCTTCATCCCCTTTTTCAGTCATATTTTGAACAAATACTTATTGAGGGCCTAGATCATCCCAGGAGAGTTCTAGTTGCTTGGGATTCTCCAGTAACAAAACAGATCACTGCCCTCTTAGTTTGTATTCCGGGTTTAGAGCTCTGGGCCTTAAGAGGTGAGGAGTTTTGTATGTGGAAGGGTGGAGGGAAAGTCTTAGTTGGGTGACATGGGCTGCCTTCAGATAAAGCGATCTTACAAAAGCAGTGAAAAAAGGCACTAAGGAACGTGTCTCTAAACTTCTGCGTGGTTAAATTACGTGGAGCTGAGAAACTAGGCTGTCCTTGGCTGTTTATCCTGGGGAACTCTTAGGTGAAGTGCTCCAAGTGTTCTCACCGTGGACCTCGCAGAACTCTTTATGGCACATGGGTGTGTTTTTTTTTTTCCCAAAGATTTTATTTATTTATTTTAGAGAGAGCACGATCGGGATGCGGGGCAGAGGGAGAATCAGACTCCTTGCTGAGCAGGGAGCCCAACGTGGGCCTCAATCCCCGGACCCTGGGATCATGACCTGAGCTGAAGGCAGATACTTAACCGATTGAGCCACCCAGGCGCCCCTTGATTTTTTTTTTAATAGTGATTTCAAAAGCTTTGTCTTTAGCATAAAAATACATATTGAATATGACTCAAAGGTAAATCAAGTAAATATGGGG